GGAGTGGTGATAGTGGGCATCCTTGTCTTGTTCCTGATTTTAGCATGAAAGTTTTCAGTTTTTGACCATTTAGCCTGATGTTGGCTGTTGGTTTTTCATAGATAGCCTTAATCAGGTTGAGATAAAGACCTTGTATTCCAATTTTCTATAGGGTTTTATCATGAATGGGTGCTGGATTTTGTTGAATGCCTTTTCTGCATCTATTGATATGATCATATTATTTTTGTCCTTGACTCTGTTAAAATAGTGTATTACATTTCTTGATTTACGAATGCTGAAAAATCCTTGCATCCCTGGGATAAATCCAACTTGGTCAGGGTGTATGATTTTCTTGATAACCCTCTGAATTCTGTTTGCCAGTATCTTGTTGAGGAGTTTTGCATCTATGTTCATTGGGGAGATTGGCCTTTAGTTCTCTTTTGGGGTTGGGTCTTTCCCTGGTTTTGGAATCAAAGTAACACTTGCTTACAGGAATGAATCTGGAAGCCTTGCTTCCCTTTCAATTTCCTTGATGAGTTTAAAGAATAATGGCAATAGTTCTTCTTTAAATGTCTTGTAGAATTCAGCAGTGAAGCCATCAGAACCTGGGCTTTTCTTCGTTGGTAAGTTTTTTATTACATTTTCAATTTCCCTCATTGTAATTCGGGTGTTTAGAATTTCTACATCTTCTTCATTCAACTTTGGCAATTCGTATGTATCTAGGAATCTGCCCATTTCTTCTGTGTTTTACATTTTATTGGAGTACAGGTTCTCGAAGTAGGTATGGATGATCCTCTGGATTTGCATTGGATCTGTTGTGACTTCACTTTTTTCATTCTTATTTGCATGTATTTGTGCCTTGTCTTTCCTTTTTTTGATAAGGTTGGCTAAAGGTTTATCGATTTTATTTATTCTTTAAAAAAACCCAACTATTTGATTCATTGATTTTTTTTGTATTGTTCTCTTAGCCTCCATTGCATTGATTTCTGCTCTGATCTTTATAATTTCCTCTCTTGTATGAGCTTTGGATTTGTTATACTGTTCTTTTTCTAGGAGCTTGAGGTTCTGCATTAGTTTATTTATCTGAGTTTTCTCTGTTTTCCTAATACGGGCATTCACTGCTATGAATTTCCCATGTAGAACTTTCATTGTGTCCCATAGATTCCTGTATGTTGTAGTGGCATTTTCATTTATTTGTAGAAATTGTTTAATTTCTTCTTTAATTTCTTCTATGACCCATTCATTTTGCAAGAGGGTGTTATTCAGTTTCTGTGTGTTTGTGGGGGTTTTGTGATTTCTTATGTTATTGATATCCAATTTTATTGCACTATGGTCTGATAAAATACACGAGTTAACTTCAATTATTTTACATTTACCTAGACACGTCCTTTGAGCTAGCATGTGGTCTATTCTGGAGAATGAACCATGTGCAGCCAAAAAGAATGTGTATTCTGATTTTGTGGGGTGTAACACTTTGTAAATATCTCTTAAGTCCATTTGTTCAATAGCTTGGTTCAGTTCTAGAATTTCCTTCTTAACTTTTTGTCTAGATGATCTGTCTGTTTGTGATAGTGGGGTATTGAGGTCCTCCACTACAATTGCATTACTATTTATTTGGTTTTTCATGTCCACTAATATTTGTTTTGTATAGTTGGGGGCATTCGTATTTGGTGCATATATATTTAGGACAGTCATCTCTTCTTCTTGGATTGTTCCCTTCACAAGGATGTAGTGATCATCTTTGTCTCAATTAGTTTTGGTTTGAAATCTACTTTGTCTGCAAATAATATTGCTACCTCTGCTTTTTTCTGGGTTCCTGTGGCATGGAGAAATGTTTTCCATCCTTTTACTTTCAGTCTATGAGTTTATTTTTGAGTTAGGTGTGTTTCTTCTTTACAGCATATTGTTGCATTTTGCTTCTTAATCCATTCTGCCAGTCCATTTCTTTTGATTGGTGAATTGGGTCCATTAACATTGATGGTTATAATTGATAGATATTGATTCATCCTTGTCATGATGTTTTACTTTTGTTGGCACTTTTATATATTTTTTCCCCTTTCCCTTTAGTGTCTTACCTTGCCTGGTGGTTTCCCTCTGTTGGGCCTCATGGAGTTGTGGCCTGCATTGTTTTTTTCTAGGATATTGTTTAGAATTACTTGTAGTGCTGGTTTGGTGTTCATGAAATTTCTCAGGTGTTCTTTGTCGTGAAAGTATCTAATTTCTCCATCAATTTTGAAAGATAATTTTGCAGGATA